ATCTCCTCTTCCACCTCTACTGGTCGGTCGGGGTCATAGATCGTGGCTGCAGTCAGCGGAACCCGCACATGGCGGTAGAACACCAATATTCCACCACCGAGTTACATCCTCATGATGGCCAACAAGACGAACAATACCGTCTTAGGAGTTCGAAGACTGTGCCTGCTCCTCTTCCCCATCCCCGAGCTAGCCCACATCTCCAAGGGCAGGGACGAGCGCGAACCCACCCCCCGGGCGGTGATCGGTCCTGTGGGAACAATACCCGGTCCTCTCGAGGATGCGTGGTCAGCAGTCTAGCCGCTAAGGCATTGTAAAACGTGAGCACGCCCCCCACCCCCGTCGTGGTCCAGGACGACCCAATAATCACTCCGTCGCAGAAAGGGATGATAGCCAAAGAAACGTCATCTATCTCTGACAGGCCTCTGCCCACTTCTCGAAAGAAAAACCATTTATCTCTGACACCCAAGACAACACCAGGGCCTGCCAGTTTCTCCAAAGAAACGCCACCATTCTCTCACCCACGAGACAACGACAGGGCCTGCCAGTCGAAGCGCCATCCATCTCTTAACACACAAGAAAACGAACGGGGCCCGCAAAGGTCCAGTGCTATAAATAAAATCGCTTGTCCTTATGCCTACAGTCATGACACAAGAGGGTGGTATGACCAAAGGCCTCTTGTAGCGGAGCTCCCTCTTCAACGGGGGTACCCAACTTACTCAAAAGGGTCGAGTCCGCGAAACCCGATTTTTCGACCCTCGTACACATCGGAACCCCCTCTTATCCCAGAATAAGAGGGTACCCAACTATACTATAGTGGGTCGAATCCGTGACAACATCTGATGTTGGAGGCCCCTCTTGTAAGGTACCCTATTATATCGGAGCCACGACTGTTCTATAGAACCAACACGCCTCGTCCTGCCACTGAAATTAAAACACTTGTTTCTGTTCCGATGAACGCAATGACGCTATTCTTTAACCGACACACCTTCCAGCCATGCGTTCATCCCCAAGGAAAGTACCGAACGAACGAACGAACGAACGAACGAACGAACGAACCTGCCCAAGAGTGGTCTTTTCGATCTTGGTCTTGACCACCCTAGCCGACGTCTTGCTGACGTTCTGATATGGGAGCCATGACATGGGAGCCACGACTACTGTGTTCCTCCTCGGCCAGCTTTCATTTCTTGCTCCAGCGGGGGTTTCATGAACCACGAGCACACCTGCTCGTAAGTGGGCACCCCGTTGAGATCGCTCCCTACCACGGACAGGCTGGGGGGGGTCGCCAGGGCGCGCCTTGCCACCGTCATGAGGTCTTCTGCCGTTACGGCGTCGATCTTGGCGCAAACCTCCTGTAGCATGGAAGGGTGCAAGATAGAGGCGGGGGGGGGGGTTACTCGTGTAAACGTTGTCGTTAGGGGGGGGGTGTACTCATAGTCGTGCATGCCGTAGTCGCTAGACCATTGACCTCGCATCCCTACAAAGCCGGGATGGAGCATGCCGGGTTCTCACCGGACCAGGCTCTCACATCACCAAGCGCGAAGCACCGTGAGGTATTCGGCGAGTCGCATGAAGGGTGAGCTGCATCCTGCTAAGGGTGTTCGGCATCTTGTGCTTACTTCCTTGCGTACGGATGACGGCTGCGTATGACTTAATTTATTTTCTGGTGCTTTCACTTCCAGAGACAGTTATAAGCACTGTGTAACAGCCTCGAGGATGCTTGACCAATTTAACACAACGTGGTGCGATCATCCCCCTCGCGCGGAGTGAGGTTTCTCCACCCCGCACAACATGATCTACTCGACCACCATTATGGTTACCGCCGAACAAAAAAAACAGAGGTAAAAAAAACCGGTAACCTGGTTGCCGAGTTCACGAAGTGAATTGGCTTCTTTTACAACGTCGTTGCCAAGCGACGAAAAAGCCAATCCCGATGGCAAGCACCGGGGGGGGGGGGGTGTACTCATAGTCGTGCATGCCGTAGTCGTTTGACCATTGACCTCGCATCCCTACAAAGCCGGGACGGAGCACGCCGGGTTCTCACCGGACCAGGCTCTCACATCACCAAGCGCGAAGCGCCGTGAGGTATTTGGCGAGTCGCATGAAGGGTGAGCTGCATCCTGCTAAGGGTGTTCGGCATCTTGGCTTACTTCCTTGCGTACGGATGACAGCTACGTATGACTTAGTTTATTTTCTGGTGCTTTCACTTCCATTGACAGTTGTAAGCACTGTGTAACTGCCTCGAGGAAGCTTGACCATTTTAACACAACGTGGTGCGATCATCCCCCGTTGCGCGGAGTGAGGGTTCTCGACCCCGCACAACATGATCTACTCGACCACCATTTTGGTTACCGCCAAAACAAAAAACCGAGGTAAAAAAAAAAACGGTAACCTGGTTGCCGAGTTCACGAAGTGAATTGGCTTCTTTTACAACGTCGTTGCCAAGCGACGAAAACCCAATCCCGATGGCAAACACCGAGTGGGGGGCTTGTTTTACAACGTCGTTGCCAAGCGACGAAAACCCAACCCCGATGGCAAACACCGGGGGGGGCGGCTTGTTTTACAACGTCGTTGCCAAGCGACGAAAACCCAACCCCCGATGGCAAACACCGAGGGGGGGGTGGGGGGCTTGTTTTACAACGTCGCTTGCCAAGCGACGAAAACCCACCCCCCCTCGGCGGGGGGGGAGGGGGTTGTCGTTCGGGGGGGGGCACAAAAAACAAACAAGTGAGGAGGAGAACGACGCGAAGCGGGAGAGTGGTATAACCGAAAATATAGAGACATTTTAAGAGTAGAAGAAGTATAAAGGAAGATATAGAGACATATAGAGGGTAGTATAAATGAAGATATAAAGACATGTAGAGGGCGGCATGTCGGCGCTTTTGGTCGCCCTGGTCGCACACCGGCGGGGGCAAAGAGATAAAATTACCCCCGTCCATCTTGACTACCCTCGTCTCTCGACGCTCAAACAATTCGCGATCTTCGGATGAACGCGAACAGCTCATTAACGTGCGGTGACGCTCGACTGACTAGGCTGCTGCTGCTGAAACTTACCTCCGGCGTCTCTCTTCGCCCGTAGGTTAGCATCTGTCTGCCGATGTCCTCGAACAGCACGAGCCTTGACTCCAGGTGCGTGAGAACGTTGCACTTTAGCATGTTCCTCGCGCGGCTTAGCTCCTCGTCAGTGACCTGTTTCACCACACACACCGTTGACAAGACAAGGGACGAACAACGTTTCGGCTCGGTGGTATCCTGTTTCATCACCCAAGACAAGGGAGTTATGGGCCATCGGTATCCTGTTTCACCACCCACAACGTTGACAACACAAGGGACGAACGGTGTCACGGAGGCGTGTGCGTGCTTCTCTTCTACAAGAACACAACGAAATAACTAGAATTTGAATACTTTAATTAAGTGTTTTTTGGGTTTTGGAAGACAAGTCCTCTCTTCCTCAGAGAAGAGTCTGGGATAGACTAGCGATGAGTAATTTCGTATCGTTAGCAGACACTACCTGTGTTTCTACGATTCCCCGCCCGAGTAGCAATACAGTAATTTTGATCAAGCTGGGGTGAAGATGCCAAAGCTAATGAAAAAATTAGAGTGCACGGTATGATAAGCTATTGCAGAGTGAAAATGATCAAGCAAATAGCGTGAATGTGATGGACTTAGGGGGAACATGATAAAAGCTAAGAGTGAAAATTATCAAGCTAAATAGCGTGAACGTGATGAAGCTAGAGGGAACATGATAAAAGCTATAGAGAGAAAATGATCGAGATTAATAGAGTGAACGTGATGAAGCTAGAGGGAACACGATAAATAGAGCTAAATAGAGTGAACATGATCAAGCTAAACAGCGTGAACGTGATGAAGCTAGAGGGAACATGATAAAAGCTATAGAGAGAAAATTATCGAGATTAATAGAGTAAATGTGATGAAGTTAGAGGGAATAGAGCTATTTAGAGTGAACCACTGAAGGGGGCCGTCAATGCACCACCTCGCGTCTCGTCTTGACTGAAGCCGCGGGTGCAGACGGCGAGTGATTCGCTCTACGCACATACAGAAGCGTTGGCCCACTTGTAAGATACATCAGAGAGAAAATGACAGGAGGGACAGACTGCTGCTGTGCGTTCTGCCTACGGTATGTATGCATAACATGAGCCGTGCATTTTACAGCACCACTGGTGAAGCGGAGGCGGAGTTAAAAAAAAAAAACTCCTGTGTTGGCCTTCCGTACTGTACGTACGTACGGCACCGCTGGCCCTCTCGTGAGAAATGCCACAGGAGGAACGGAACGTCTATGTATTGTGCATTCTGCCTACGGTATGCAAAACATCAGCAAGCCGTGTATTTTACAGGAACGATACGGGGAGGGGGCGAAAAACAAACACTCCGCGTTGGCCTTGTTGTCCGTCCGGGATGATTGATCCAAACATACCGCGACGTGAAGAAAACGACGTCTGGAATTGAATGTTTTGGTCCCACTCTCTGCTGAAAAGACTTCACTCGAGTGCTGTGGTACTTATCTCGAACGGGGTAGCATTTCTAAACATATGCACATTGTATTAGCATCACACAAACAAACGAACCGTAGATGACACAAGGTATGACACCTGAACCGGTTTCATGGCTCGACTTCTCCACAAAATGAGTGGCAGCACCGAACGTTGAAGCCGTCTCGTCGGGAGCTTTCCAAAAGCCTATCGTTTGACTTACGCATCTTCTTCGTCAAGGCGTACCGTAGGTGACATGACGTAAGGTATCACACACCCTGGACCGATTTTCAAAGCTCGATTACTCCACGACGAAGAGGATGCCGAAATCAAAGTATACGTTTTCGGAAAGCTCTCTACGAGACAGTTCCAACGCCGCCATTTTCGGCACCGCCACTGCTTTTCCTGCCGAGATATCGAGCTTCGAAAATCGGTCCAGGGAGTGTAAATCGAGCTTTGCAAATCGGTCCAGGGGGTGTGGTATCTTGCAAATAAATCGCAAAGATCTCTCCTTACCGGCACCGTGGCTAGGGTCGCGAAGTGTTCGCAGAAGACGTGCATCAGCTGGCCGGCCCTCAGCTTGTCGGCCGCGGCGCCGGCTATCCCGAGCAGCCCGGTCTCGTCGTGGATCATGGAAAACGCCTCCGCTGCCTCGGCCCAGTAGAATCTGACGCGGCGCAACAAAACCGGGCGTGTAGCAGGCAACAAGCAAGCATGACCTACCTGTGGATCAGCCCTTCCTTGGGGATGGAGTCACGATGGATATGGATCAATTGCCACGCTGGCAAGTCTACAGACTCCGACCCGTAACCAATCGGGGTGACTTAAGTGTGAAAAGAGGGAATCGTCTTAGACAGTGTAAAGGCTTAAGACAGACTCAAAATAAGCCCAGTATCCAGCCGGTTTTCTTCCCTCTCGCTGTGAAGACTTCAAACCATCCCCTTCCACTGCCGTGGTGTTTTCTCGAACGGATAATCTTTCTGTGTTCGTATGAATATTAATGTTTTCTACTCTGGGGAGATTGTTATGTGAACCCTTAATGAAGGGCATCTATCGCCACAGAAGCAGGTTCCCCCGACACCAAACGCAAAAAAAATTAAATTGACAGCAAATCGGCTCAAACTACCTCCAGCAACGAAGACGACACCGGCTGCTCCAACCGCAAGCAACGACAACGAAAACAACAGCGCTACCTACCACCAGCACCAGCAATGTTGTTATATCCCACCTGTCCTATACCCACGGTACTTACAGTTGATGTAGCCTCCAACAACACTCCAAAATCTAAGAAATTGAGCACCAAACTGCGAGCTCGGTTAAGACCCACTACACAAAACCGTATGTAGTGACCATTCGAAGCGTTTCCCTACAACTGAGAGCCTCGGGCAAAACTAGAGGTTCTTGGGGTGCGGGGGCTCACTGTACCTGTTGAGCACTTCTCGGTACAGCCTGGAGTACATGCCCTTGCCCGGCCCGCCCGCGGAAAATGAGTCCCCACCGCCAAGCAAAACCTGTCAGTCACGGGCCCCCCAACAACGCGCATGCTGGCGTTTTTTCTTCGTCATACAGAACAGAATTGAAAAAAATGACTCGTTTTTGACACACGATTACGGAGCAAAAAAAGAAAGAATCCGTGGTGTTTGTGTGGCACACACGTTTACAGAACAAAAAAATACCGTGTATTCTAACGCGAATAATACAGAACGAGCAAAAAAAAAAACTAACCCGTTGTGTTGCATGGTACACACGACTATATGGGTAAGCTTATCTCAATACTTCCTGTACGCCGGCATACCATCCTGTCTGGTCTCTTGATGGCCTCAACAACGCGGGCATATCGATTTTTTACATCTATCTGGCCGCGAAAGTGGGCATCGTACCTGAAGCACGCAGGTGGGTACGAGGAGATCGTCGTGCCAGCCGCCCACCTTGAAGGCCACCGATACGCGGGTTAACTTGTCCTGCGAGACAAAGGTGGGGGGGAGGGGGAGGCACCGAGAAGGGTATATATCGGTTTTGCAAGGGAGGGAACAGAGGGTATGTATCGGTAGTTCATGTGGTAGTGATCGTCGTTGGACACCGTTGCTGTTGCCGTTGCTATGGCCCCTCTCTTTCGATTGGGTGGCGACAGTGGTGCTCATGCTGGCAGCAGTAGCTTTCGATTATCTTGGCATGATTCCGTTCGTGTTGGGAGAATGATGCGGGCAGCCTACTACTGGATCTCCCAGCACTTGTGGACTCTCCCCGCCGCTATGCATACAACAGCGCCTTGTAAAAACTTCCTCGTGTCTACCTTATCCGTGCCAAGACACCCCACCCTGCGACTCTTCCCCAAGCCACAACAACACCGTCGTACTCGTCCCTTGCCTATACCTTTTCCGAGCCAACGGCACTAATTCCTCGCCTGTACCTTTTCCGTGCCAAGACACTGCGCGACTCTCCCCCAAGCCACAACAACGCCGTCCGGCAATTCCTCCTCTGTACCTTATGCTTGGCAACGACGTTGCGCGACTCTCCCCCGACGTAGCTCGACTCCGCCGGTCCGGCAGCATCAACAACATCACCGTTGCCGCCCTCCACGGCCTCGAGCCCTCCGAAGTACTTGTTCCCCAATCGGACGAGCTCATCGTGGTCTACCCCCGCCCCCGCGAGCACCATTTTCCCCGGCGTGAAATGCCTGCGTGTGGTTGTAAGCACACCCAGTGGTTGTGTAGTGGTCGTAGAGGTTTTGTAACAAAACACACGCAGAGGCGGTGAAAGAAGGAGTGAGATGATGTTGGGGGTCATCTTCTGTCTTGTTTTGTTGGCACGAAAACAACGACCGACCACAACTTTAACCAAAAAACGAGATTTTACGTCGAGACCTCCCAAGAGAGGTCAACAAACCGAATGATGGACCTGGAACGTTGTGCTGTGTGTGCTGTGTGCTGTGTGTGTTGTCATGTCTCTCTTGTACAGCAGTCATACACCCTTTTTAACAAGGACGACAAGAATGACGACACTCCCCGCTTCAAGGATAACATTTTCTTCAGTGTTTTAGAAGCACGGTGCCCCGCAGAATGTGACAAAAAATAGGGGGGGGGGGATCTAAGGCTACCAAGGAAATTTTCTTTGAAAAGAAACACGGGTGCCACACAAAGCGGGGAAGAGTGTACTCCAAGCCTAGGTCGCACCAGGGGTCATCGGAATTTCATGAGCTAAGTTGCTCTATCGGGTAGGGAGAGTGAACCGCGATTCTGGTTACAAACGAAAATGGCTTCCACGCACCGTACATGCAAAAACCAATCATCCTGAAACCCCGCACGCGATGCTGGCACACCTGGCATCTAAAAAATGAAGGAATAATAAAAACACACACGGAAAGACTACCCATTCATCTAAAAAAGCAACAGTGTACAATGTCACGGCCGCGTGACCTCAGCGGGGCAGCAGTAGGAACCCTTTTCGTCACCAACCGTAGCGCTAACATAGAGCAGAGGCGTACGGCATTGCGTCTTGGGGTTGTTGTCCAGCGAACCGGTGGCGGTCGCAGGTACGCAAGTCGTCAACCTTCAAAGTCACGCGAACATAACACCATGACGACCATGACACATCAAATAGCTACCTCTTTCGGACGCCCCGCGTGATGCTGGCACCTGACACCTCTCAAGAGCGTTAATCGACAACGTCAACATCACGTGACAAAATACATCAATGCATCAACAGATGGCTCTTTCGGAAGCCCCGCATAATGCTCGCACCTTACACCTCTCTTGAGAGCAATAACGCACAGCATCAAGGTCGCGTGCCCACAGCAAACCAACACACAAAGATACCTTCTGCCGACGCCCAGCACGTTTCCGGCACCAAACATCAAAAAGAGCAAGAATGCATAACGTCAAGGTGGCGCGCCCACAGAACATCAACAGGTAGCTAACCTCTTTCGGAAGCTCCGGACCATGTTGGCCTCGAGCTTGGGGAGCGCCGATTTTGGGCACCAGTACGGGCGCCCGAGAGGCTGGCCCTTAAAGGCCGCCGTCATGAGGGACTCTCGCATTGTGACCTCGGGCATCGTGTCCTCCAGTTGGAAGCCGATCACCTGCCGTCGTCGTCGTCGTCATTATCATCGTCGTCGGTTTTTTTTTTTTTATAGACATCCAGTCGTGGTTCCGATGTAACAAGGTACTTCCTACCTTGCAAGAGGGGCCCCGATGTAGGAGGGTCGAAATGTTTGTCACGGGTTCGACCCGCGATACCATATAACAGTAGGCTACCTTCTTATTCCGGTATAAGAGGGGGCTCCGATCGAAGACGGTCAAGGGCCTTCGTCACACCACCCTCATACATCGGAGCCACGACAGCAACGAATTAATTCATCTCCATGCACGATAAGAGTCTGGGACAAAAAAGCAATGGATCCATGATGTTAGCGGACACTACCTGCACTTTCACAGTTTTTCGTTTCTTCCTCTGCCTGCGCTGGTTATGGTATCCAACTTTCCACTACCGTTGAGTACTGGCAAACGTGTTACGTACTTTGCTTCTGTAAATCTCACTTAATACTACCTTCTACGACTAAATGTGGAAACCAGGGTATAGGCGTCTTCCTAGGGGTAATTACGAACATGCAACCAGTCAAGATCTGGAGACCTGCGAACAATGCTCTACCGGCCCGAAGATGTTTGCCGAATGTTGCAAGAAATCTCACATAAAATCTAACAAAATCTCACTTGAAATCTCACCGTTAATAACTCTTTACCAAGTCTCACTAAATCTCACCAAATCACACTATAAATAAATCTCACCGCCTTTTGTTCCTCCACCTCCTCCGGCGTAACCCTAGGGTTGATGAGCGTGTCCGCCAGCAGCTCAACGGCCCTCTCCAGGTTGTCCCGCAGTACGTCCTGTATTAGCAACAATACCATCCCGATTGTACGTTCGTTCATTCATTTCTTAAGACAGGACACAAGACAATAAAAGCAACAGCAACAAGCAGAAAAACACCACCAACAGCAGCAGCAGTAGCAGCAGCAGCAGCAGCAGCAGCAGCAGCAGCAGCAGCAGCAGCAGCAGAAACAACAGCAGCAACAGCAGCAACAGCAGCAACAGCAGTAGCAGAAGCACCGCCCCACACCATCACTACCACCAGCACCAACAACAGGGACAAAGGAGACAAGCTTTATAGGCGAGTCGGCATAGAAAAGTCGTCAAGGTCATCACGGTCGACAACGTCTTACAATCTGATGTGTCACGAAAACACCAACATTCCGTTCCTTCAACTCTCAAAGCGCGGACCCGCGTATGCAACAGCAGCAACAATAACGGATAGCGAAAAAGAAAAAGGAAAACTCACCACGCAGTACAGCATCTGGTCTCGCGAGCCGTGTGTAGAAGTCGTTCCGCCCATTTCCTCAAATTCGCTCACAACCTACGACAAACACAGACAGTTAAAGAAATTGCCATAAGAACAAATCGAAAGCTTGCACCGCGATGAACATCGCGTGAAAAATTTCGTTTTACATGCTGAACGGGCGTTCAACTGTTACAGAAAGCACGGTAGAAAGACTAGTCCATAGAGAAGAAAACACAATCCTGGAAGTGTACGACAGTAAACTATTGGTGGCACAAGGAAAGACAATGACAATAGCTGATTCCACACAATTGTTGGTTCCACGGTCTTCCCGTGTGCCCGCTAATCGGCCGTTGTAAAAGACAAAAACACCAACATTTCACCCGACTTGAAAATAGAGCTACAGGCAAGCAGGGGCGTGATCAGGAGCAGGTTTACTTCTCCGAGAACAGGGACGAGCCTCGCGGATGAACTTAGGCAACTTGTTTTTTCCCATTTTCAAAAATCGATTTGTTTGGATCCAGCGCTGACGTCATGGCTGATGTCATGGTCCGTGTTTTTCTGTACCTGCTGGTGCGAGCGCGTCGCTGTGCTCTTGAAGGCCATGAGCTCGAGCAAATGGCATGTCCCCGTGTTCAGGTCGGTCTCCAATCGGCTGGAGGCGGTCCATCAAGTGCGCAGAGCGGGGGGGTCAGTTTCTTGTGTGGAGCGTGTTGTGCTTGTGCAGATGTCTTTCGAATGGCTACAGCTAGGGAGCAGGTGTACGTGCTGTCATGCAAGACTCGATGTCTCTGGGGGGGGGGGGGGGGGAGCTGCTACATCCAAGTGCAAGATGGTGCTTGCACGAGACGATTCTCGCGCGGGGTGGAGGACACCGTTCGTTCAACTAAATTGCACAAGACTTCGGCTGATTGAGCGGTCAAGCGCACAAATTTACGCAGGCGTCGTCGATGCTGCGGGGGACGGAGGGGGGGGGGGGGGGGGGATAGCACTCGTTTCTCCCGTCGCTCTTCCCATGATATGGTCCATGAATTCACTCTTCGATACAGGGCTCCACTTGTCCCATCTCGCACCGAACACCGTCAATATATAATGATGGGAATGCCACCCATGTGCTCAACGCTGTGTTCGTCATGATCAAACCTACGTGTGAAACGCTTACCTTCCAGCGTTGACAACAATGCCGAAGGTGCACAGCGCCCCGTACGTTTCTTGAGATGCCACGCGCAGGCCGTTCGGCAGGGTGGTGGTCAAGGTTTCTGGCCTCTGGGAGCGATCGTTGATTGGGGTAATCGGCACCAGGACGGCAGGCAGGGCGATCGTTGATTGGTCGACGTGGGTGGGGTAATCGGCTCGAGGACGGCAAGCAGGGCGACGGGAAACACAACACGCATGCACAAACCGGATTCGACGCTTGTTGCTTGTTGCTGCGCCGAAGAATAAACAGGCGCCTTTAGATCTCCATTCACCTCCAATCCCTCACTATACAACCAAACCACAAATTCCGTCGGCAGGATGCTCTCAGTGAGCACACACAACTAGGACTACGACGAGTCATTGAGGTAGCGCCAGGTGGGAGGAGGATTACTGCTAGATAAACCAACGCGCAAGGGAGCACATGACGAACACACAACACACCCGTGGCCTGACCTAGACACCAGCAACAGATGTCGGCGGTAGAACCTGCGAGAGCGCCTCTGTTGCTTGTGTGTGTGTGTGTGTTTGTTCGTCCCATCTATTCTGGCGCCGGTTTACAGGCCTTTCGGCGTATATATATACCTGGCGTATCAGCCGGGGTCACAAAAGAGGAAGGTCACACAGGAGCTTTTCTCATTTCTTTGTTTTTTGTTTTATTGCCCCATCTTTCCCCTTGCGGTGCTTGCCGTAGCTTTTATCGCGAGACGGGTTCCGCCATCCGTTTCCCTCGTGGACCCTGGGAAATAAAAATGACCGCAAGCGGCACGACACCTCGTATTTCGGGAGGCACCTCCCTCTCTCTCCCTCTCTCTCGCTCACATTTCAGCGCCAGGCGCTCGGCTTCGCATCGAAATTTTACTACACCCAGTTGGCCTGCAAACCTGTTGAGGCGAGCGGGTAAGGGAGTGCTCCCAACCCACACACAATAGGAGGCAACAACCACCAACGCCATGTAATCACTGTCTGTCGTGCAATAAGTCAACCCTACTTTTGGTAAGTGTAAGAAGACTTGGGGTAGTGTAAGCACAGTATATATGTTGAGGCGTGATGGAATGGATTAGAGAATGTTGGCTCTGGGAGCAGGGTTGGGGTAAGTTCTGGTTGAGATATCGTCAAGTAAGTTCATGAAGCGTATATGAGACGGAGACTAGAAATGAGAAAGTGTTGGTTTATGGTTGGAAAAATGAGTACATGAGGGAATTGTAGTCATTTGAGAGAGAGAGAGAGAGAGAGAGAGAGAGAGAGAGAGAGAGAGAGAGTTGGAGAGAGAGGGGGGGGGAGCTTGAGGGAGAAAGAGAGGGTGCTGGATAGATAGGTGCACCCGCCTTCCTGGTGTCGCACGTCCCCGTTGTTCAGTGTTCGACTTCCCTGCTGTTCCCAGCCCAAGAAGGCCTAAGAGACACACTTTTGATCGCAAACATCTTCGAGACGCGCGCACACACGGCCCTACTTGCACATCTACACACAAATCCACGCGCGATAGGCCACCGCCGGCCGATTCCACGTCATCACGCCGCACGTTTACCTTCAACGCGCCCGGAGGCTTGAGAGGAGGCACGCCCGGGAAAGGCCTGTCCATAGGAAACCTCCCCTTCCTGGCCTCCAGCATGGCAGACTTGTCCACGCTCTTGGCTGTTCTTGAAGAAGACAGCACCACCACCTGTTGGGGCGGGTGTCAGGTTGAGGGTGGGGGCGGTATGAGCGAAGGATTTCGCTGTGTTCAGGGCCAAGGATCGCTGCTCGGTGCACGCTCACCATCGTCGTTCGTCGCTGGTCGTCACAGACCCCCTCCCACTATAAAAAATGGAAAATTGCTCGAGGTCCGCCTCCGGAGCCAGTCCTGAGAGGCAAAACGTACGTCCTCTTTTTCGCATAAATCTATTCGCTATTCGGGTTTATTCTTTTTTGTGTGACCAACAACGCCTTCCTGGTCGGCGGAAACCCAACGCTCTTCCCCCCCGCCTCTACCGGAGGTGACGCAACATACCCGATTTGTAGAGCTCGATTACACTCTCTACGACGAAGACGGTGCATTAATGAAACGGAAAGCTCTCAACGAGACGGATTCAACGCCGCCCTTTTCGTCGCCTCCACAATTTCTGCAGTGGAGAAATCGAGCTTTGAAACTTGGTCCAGGAGATGTCTCGTCTTATGGGTGCCATTGGGAGAGACTAAATATCTTAGTTTGAGCCACCGGCAGGCGGCTTGCGGGTGCGATGATCGTTGCAGTTCATGTGCATGTGTTAAGTAGCGGTTGTACGTTTGTCGATCTCGAAGCCCCGCGCCGTCCAACACACAAAGTACGTCCTTAGATACCTATCATCGGTCAACTGAAGGGCAGCGTTTGTACACAAAGCCGGGCCCCTTTGACCTCTTGCCTGGTGGCTAGCTACACTACCGTTGAACAGGCCGGGGCTTTTGCGCATAACACCAAACATCGCATTTCATCTTGAGGGTACAAAAATCAACCGCTTACATATCTATCTGCCCACAGCAAACGGCAGCACTGTCCCGATCACCCACGCCGGGCATTATATGTGTGACCACTACCCACAGCAGGAGGACAATAGACCACCCCAACACTACCAACACTTGGTCCCCACGTACTTGCCGAACCCGACACCGCCAAATATTGCAGTATCCTACAGGCTGTGCACGCACCTCTTCGGGTTCCTTGACCTTAGAGGCGGAGTTGTGGAGCTCCCTTCCCCCGACAGCCGCCCCCCCGCTACTCCTCGCTAGCTGCTGTCCGGCGCGATGGTAGCCAGCAGCTTGGAGTGTTGGCGATGCTGCTCGCCGCCCACCTGCTACTGCTGTTCTTAGGGCACCGGCTGCGCGAGCAACGCTGCCATTACCACGATGCTGCTGCCCCCTCGCCGCTGGGGCCAACACCGACTTGCCGCCCCGAGCAAGCACGGAGTTCATCGCGCTAGATGCACTCCTGTGTGCGTGTCTAGTGAGTGGGTGCACTTGCCAAGGCTCGACTTGGTTGTACAGCGGTACAGCTGAACCAGGCAACCAGGCTCAGCCGCCGGGGCCCTACGGCCAAGAATCGGGTTTCTAGAAAAAACGCACCAACAAAACCAGGGGACGAATGTGACAGTGCCGAACGCTTCCCACAGTGCCGGATGCCGGAAGGAGATCCCTGTCCCTTGTCCACTTGTCCATCTCTCTGTCCTTGTCCCCTCGATCGGTTCGCGCGCTACCCTTCCACAGAGGTACTTCGGTTGGGGGATGACGCGCAACCGGGGGGCGGCAGCCGCGAGGCCTGCGCGCCATGACAATGTTGGCGTCAAGACTGTCCCCAGTGTTGGCGAAACCGTCGAGACTTGCGCCTGGCTGGGCGAGGCCCTGAAGAGAGACCTGCAGCAAGACGTGGAGTCGGACGATGCACAGGGACAAGCGCTTCGAGATACGGACATTGAGTGAGGAAACCCGCGTGCTTGAAGAGGTGTTTCTCCTGTTTTAGATGCCATACTCGGGTGTATGTCGATGCGGGGACTTGTGTTCGTGTGCAACTCTTCAACGGCAGCATATGGGAAGGCGTGCCGTGAGACCTGAGGCGAAGTTGTTTACACACTGCCGTCGATGAATCTTCGCTCAAAACACTCCCAGAATCCAGAAACGTAGACGCACGTTTCGGTTGTCTTTCTTGCTCACCCCCCTAGACTAATGGTAAGGTCATGCCGTTTATATCGCGAAGCTGAAAGCTGCAACGAACGTCGCAGCAATAGTTGCTCCTGCCTGTAGGTCTCTCTTCGCCCTACATACACCTAAGCTTTACCGATCGCCGAGGCTAGAGCTTGGAGGCTTGACACACTACAGTTTCTTTCTTTGCAGTGGTGTACCACAGGGCTGACGTTTATATTTACTTGGCATTTATCGCGCGCATCGCCGCTTGACGTCATCATGCAAAATGGGGGCTTCGTGATTGGTTCTGCAACACCATCTTTGGGTTCCCAAGGTTAGAGCTGTAGCCCGCAAATGCTTGGTAGTCTGCTATCCGCGCCCATCTGCGGGAACATCACTGGTACTCATGTTTTTGCTTCCCCAGTCCACGCCCTTATTCTTCTTGCATATGTATGTGTGTGCGTATTTGCCTTCCATGGTGTGTACTTCGGATGCTGCCGCCGCCGCTTGCCAACGACCACAACAGCCTGTCGTCTTTGCGCATCCTCCCGAACCGTGAGCTTCTGCACTCCAAGATCCGGGAGGCCCTGACCTGCTGGGACAAGGCAAGGCAGAATCGCACCCTGTAATCGCTACCATGTCTCCATGGCCGTGCCGTGGTACACCTACCTACTAGAATTTGACATGGACGCATCTCTAAGAAACCGGCGACCCTGAGAAAATGTTAACACGCTACGCAGTTTCATCCCCAACTTATCCATTCCTATCCCACCCATGTACCCAACCAAAAGGGCGAAAGGTCAGGATCAGTATGTACCAGCCTTTTTCAAAGCTACCCTTGTCGCCGCTTCTACCCCCTTGCGAGATCATGTCGCTAAATACCATCTTCCGTGCCGCCCGCCCCGGCCCCACTACTCCCCCCCCCCCCCCCAAAAAAAAACCACCAACTTTTTTTTTTTTTCCCCCCCCCCCCCCCCAAACCCCACCCCCCCCCCC